GGAGACTGCTCCATTGAAGCAAACCTTGGCTTTCCTTCCTGTGAGGTAGTCTTCAACCCATTTCATGAGTCTCCCCTTGACACCCATGCATGCAAGCTCGTCCAGGATCGCAATCCCCTGTGCTTTGTCAAAGGCTCCTTTGATGTCAACAAATACAGAGTACCTAGCCGTGTCATTAGCCAAGTAATTAACTATACAATTTGCTGTGCTCCGTCCTTTAACAAATCCATTGACCCCCTCCCCTAACCTGCCTATTTTGTGCAACAGTCGGTTTAGGATGATCCTTTCAAGCATCTTGCAAGTGCATGACACGAGACTGATAGGTCCGTAATTACCAGGGTCATTAGGCTTCGGTATGGGAACAATTATTGCGTGTTTCCATTGTGTGGGCAACACTCCACTTAGGAATGACTTGTTAAACAGGTGGAGTAGTGGATTCCCAGACACTTCACACAGTGCATTGAGTATGTCGTAGGTGACGCCATCTTCACCAGGTCCTGTACTTTTACCCTTTTTCATAGCGCCCCTTACTTCTTGGGCTGTGATTGGTTCCCCATATTCGTCATCACTAGAGTGCTCTTGTTATCCTAATTCTTCTGTCATCATGTCGCAGGTGCTGTTCCCTGCTGATTTCTGCAGGGAGGGAGGAGGAGGATGCTGCATCACTCCACTTGTGAATTAGTTCCTCAGCCTTACCCTGGGGGTCTTTGTGAGCCGCAGGCCGGGCTCTGCCACCCTTAGCTATCTGAATTTTTTCCCACACGTGTCTTGCAGATGTTTCCCGTCCAATAGAACTAGTGAACTCAAGCCATTGTCTTTCCGCTCTTTAATCTTCTCTTCCCTGGCTACTTGACACACAGTTTTAAACAACTCTTGGTTACTTTCAGTGGGATGTCTCCGGTACTCTCTACTCATGTCTCGCACATTTGCGTTAAGCATCTTTATGTAATCATTCTCATACCATTTTATTTTCTTCCTCTGAGGGTTACTTCGCCCAGGTGTACGGCGCGGAACTCTTAGACAGCTCTCAATTTGGTGATTAAGGTCATCAACAAATGTGTCAATGTCTTCTGGGATTTAGTATTCCGTGAACCAGTCACTCATCCTGTTTATGAAGAGCGGCCTCATATCTGGTCCGTGTGATAACCTTTTTCTTTTATTTGTCTCTTTCTTTCTCTTGCTCATGTCGACGGTGGTAATTAGTGCCCAGTGGTCACTACATAAACTGTGCACAATGTGTGTACTGGCATCCGTGTCCTGTGCATTCAGCAGGAGAGCATAGTCTAGTCTTCCTCCTCTGAGGTGAGTTGGCTGTTCATCACCCAGGACTCTAAGGTTTTCACTTCCCCTGACAAAGAGTGACAGTTTCCGTCCATTGACATTGGGCTGATGACAGTTGGCACCAAAGTGTGGGTGTCTGGCATTCAGGTCACCGACCAGCAGGGTAGGTTCTTCATTAACAAATTCAGGCAGTGTGTCAAGGTCAAGTTTACTCTGTGGCACATATAGGCTGATTATATGTAAGGCATTATTGTTTAAGTAAAGGGTTACTCCCAGTGATTCAAACTCATCCCCCATGTGCAGGTCATCAATAATCTGTGCGGGAATGTTGTTATTTACAAAAGTGATGAGACCCCGTTTTCTTTTCCCATGGGGCAGGGAGAACTTAACATTCTCTCTACACTCTTATCACAATATTCTGGTATACTGGGCGTCTGCTATTTAAAGACTCTAACGCTCCTCTGCTGTCAATAAAGTAAGTTATTATCAAAAAGAAGGCACCAAACCGGGAAGGTTATGTAGCACCATCAAATGTGCGGTGGAGGGCGCTATCAAATCTATTATATAAGTTATGTAGCACCATCAAATCAGAGGGCGCTAAATATCATCAAGGACGCCAATACGAGAACAGAAACGCATACGGCGAACGATATCAAAAGTATCCGAGTCACCGAGAATACTATCAAGAGACAAGTGACTGCGAGGGACGGTCGGAAAACAAGACACACGCTCGTCCCGAAAGTCAGGACACTCACCAAGGATATGCACGACCGTAAGAGGGACAATGCAATTAGGACAATAAGGAGCAGGGCGGCGCTCCATCAAGTGACCATGAGTTAAGCGAGTATAGGCAATACACAACCTCGCCAGAGCCGTTTCCCATCGCCGGTTACGGTGAAAGGAGGACGGCCATGAGGACACACACAACCTTTAAGAGAACGTAGTTTGTTACCAGTAACAGACGACCAACAAGCCTGCCAACGGGTAAGGATGGAGGAATGGATAACCGGGTAAAAGTCGGAATAAGGAATGCCTTTACGAGAGATGGGACAAGAGCGGACAGCTTCCCTAGCGGCAGCATCCGCACGCTCATTTAAAGAGACACCAATATGGCTGGGAACCCATGTTGTCAATAAAGAAGCAGGCATTCTTTATTGAGAGTGGTAATAAACTCTCATCTTATTTTTTCTTGCAATGTATTTGTTATCATTTTATTAATTCTGATAGAATTTACCTACTTAAAATTATCTGTTAGATTCAGGGCCTGCCCGAAACGCTGCGCGTACTAGTGGCTTTACAAGATTGTAAGCATCATGCTATGTATTCTCACAAACCCAATGCACCTTCTTGTATATAAATAAATAAATAAATAAATATTGAACAATTTGGAGTATGTTGATCCGGACATATCCTTCAAGATGTAACGTAGACAAGGAGTAACGGTTTCAAGCTCAACAAGCCAAGATGTAGGACTGAAAACATTATATGCTTTTACCTTCAGACTCTTCAAACAGAATTGGTTGCCATAATTGCCATAATTGCCATAATTGCCTTGCACTCGAGCGCGTATATGAATCCAAAGTTGACATGCTAATTGCAGTGACTCCTTGTCATCCTTGACTGCCCTCAGCTCCCCAAGGCATAACTGGGACGTGCTTATCTCTGAAGCTAGACTCAGATATAATGAAATAATCAATGATGAAGTCAGAGTCTGTCTCCTGTGGATTCCTTCCCATATTGGTCTCCGAATACATGATAGAACTAATGAGTTGGCCAAGACTTTTGCTCGTAAAGAGGGAATTGATTACCAACTTGGACTGCCTTTGAGCAGCCTGAGGGCAGCAATATCCTAGGAACATCAACTAAATTTCGGAGACTTGAGGCAAAGTGAAATTCACACCAGTTACTCTTTCTATCATTATTCTATTGTGCAGGAAGAACGGCACGTCTATGGGTCATCCAATAATGTTAGCAGACTTCTAGATGTTACCACTGCTAGGCTTAGGCTCGGCTACAAGTACCTCTGGGAATTTGTAACATCTGTTGATGTAGATTTGACTAAATGTAAACTCTGTCAGCAGAACTATTCGCATACTTTGCGTCATTGTATAATGGAATGTGAAAAAATCGCGGAATTTAGAGATAACACCATCAATAGTGTCCAAGAAATGTGTAATAAGTACTTCATCCATAATGATGTGCTGCCCGAAATCTTAGCGAAGTATCCAAAATTTGCTTACTGTAAGTAATGCATGCACATGACTGTAAAGCTGCCGCCCAGTTGGGTGGATGTGGAGCACATGACTGTAAAGCTGCCGCCCAGTTGGGTGGGTGTGGAGCACATGACTGTAAAGCTGCCGCCCAGTTGGGTGGGTGTGGAGCACATGACTGTAAAGCTGCCGCCCAGTTGGGTGGGTGTGGAGCACATGACTGTAAAGCTGCCGCCCAGTTGGGTGGGTGTGGAGCACATGACTGTAAAGCTGCCGCCCAGTTGGGTGGGTGTGGAGCACATGACTGTAAAGCTGCCGCCCAGTTGGGTGGGTGTGCAGCACATGACTGTAAAGCTGCCGCCCAGTTGGGTGGGTGTGGAGCACATGACTGTAAAGCTGCCACCCAGTTGGGTGGATGTGGAGCACATGACTGTAAAGCTGCCGCCCAGTTGGGTGGGTGTGGAGCACATGACTGTAAAGCTGCCACCCAGTTGGGTGGGTGTGGAGCACATGACTGTAAAGCTGCCGCCCAGTTGGGTGGGTGTGGAGCACATGACTGTAAAGCTGCCACCCAGTTGGGTGGGTGTGGAGCACATGACTGTAAAGCTGCCGTCTAATTGGGTGGGTGTGGAGCACATGACTGTAAAGCTGCCGCCCAGTTGGGTGGGTGTGGAGCACATGACTGTAAAGCTGCCGCCCAGTTGGGTGGGTGTGGAGCAAGACTAATAACTGTGTGACTCACCATAGATGTAAAGTGCCTTGTATAGTGACTGTTGTGAACCTCTTGTTGATCACTTGTGACACAAAAGATTACTGATGTGTGTATTTGTGTGGGTGATTAAATATATGTGTATGTATATATGTATACGTATGTATGTACATGTATGCATGAGTATGTGTACATGTATATATATAACATTAATAATTTTGTAACTAGCGTCAAAAGATTGTTATTTGCTTAGCTAAATGAACTAGAGGATTCAGTTCCTGAACCGATTATGTGCCTCTGTAACCCTTTACACCACCGCCCACGGCATGGGTATGGGGTGCATAATAAAGAAAAACATTGAATTACCCTCAGGGTTATAAACCCATGGAACTGGCTCCCTGCCGAATCCGTAAATGTCAAACTCTGGAAAGTGGAAAAGATTGCCAAGGCAAATAGGGAGACCTTTGACAAGCCGTCGGCTTCCTGTCCTCGCCGAGGCTACTAGTGTTAGTGGCTTTCAGGTAAATCAGGTAAAATCAGAACAATGAAATTCTAATGTCACAGTTATTTGCGATTTTGTATGATTATGTCATCGGCTTTATGAACATGCTTTTGAATATATTTTATTTAGTTTACTTTATCCAAAATAAAACAATATGTTAATTAGCAAATAAAATAATTGATAATTATTGTATCAGGAAATTCTTTATAATATATTGTATTAATTAATGATAAGTGTGAGAGAAAGAGAGAGAGAGAGAGAGTAGAGAGAGAGAAGGTAAAGGGACGGCGAGCGCGGCCAGCTACACGAACGGTGCCGGGCTGCCAGGCTGACCAGGCTCCTCTACACACATTACTCACGGGTTCAGGAGGCTGCAGGGGTACATGTCCACCTAAGGAACTACAAGACTTGGTGACACCACAGTAGCACTCCAACATGACGGAAGAAATTGGTTTTGAATTAGAACGGCAGCAAGAGAGGTGAGCGAAAGACCTGCTACCTGAACTATAACAAACTGTCTTCAGACAACACAATGCCCCTCTGGTTAAGTCCCTTAACATGCTAAACATACACTCACTCCACACATTCTCATGTGCTATCTACATGCACAAAACCTTGTTCCTAAATGCTAATCTTGATCTGAAACATTTCCATGATAGATGTAATAGAACCCATGAGCACCACCAGAAATAAATCTCTCTTTGATATCCCCAGAGTCAGACTTAATCTGTGCAAACACTCCATGTAAATAAAAGGGCCCGGTCTTTGGAACTCACTCCCTAATGAATTAAAAATTTGTCCAACCCCTCCCCTTTTTAAAAGTAAAATAAAAAAGTACCTAATTTTAGCCTCATAGAATACAAAATACAAATACAAATATTAATTCAGGTAAAGTACATACATACAATGTAAGATACAAAACAAACATTCATACCAAAACAGAGAGGCAGGGCCAGAAAACAGGATTGGTTTAAGAGAATTTGTGAGAGGGCCAGAGACCAAAAGACACAAAAATGGAATCAGTATAGGAAGAGGCCAAACCCCCAAACATACCAGCGATACAAAGATGCGAGAAACAACTATACGGCAGTAAGGAGAGAGGCAGAAAGAAATTTTGAAAAAGGGATAGCGGATAAATGTAAAACAGAACCGGGCCTATTCTACAAATTCATAAACAAAAAATTGCAGGTAAAAGATAACATCCAGAGGTTGAAGATGGGAAACAGATTCACGGAAAATGAAAAGGAAATGTGTGAAACATTAAATGAAAAGTTCCAAAGTGTGTTTGTACAAAATAAAATCTTCAGAGAACCAGACACAATAAGAATTCCAGAGAACGACATAGAGCGTATAGAGGTGTCTAGAGAGGAAGTGGAAAATATGCTAAAGGAGCTCAGTAAGAACAAAGCAGCTGGCCCAGATGGCGTTTCACCATGGGTTCTGAGAGACTGTGCACCTGAGCTCAGCATTCCACATCACCAGATCTTTCAGGCATCCTTGTGTACAGGAGTCGTAGCAGACGTGTAGAAACAGGCTTACATAGTTCCAATCTACAAAAGTGGCAGCAGGGAAGACCCCCTCAATTATAGACCTGTATCATTGACAAGTGTAATAGTGAAAGTATTGGAAAACTAATCAAAACTAAATGGGTAGAACACCTGGAGAGAAATGATATAATATCAGACAGACAGTATGGTTTTCGATCTGGAAGATCCTGTGTATCGAATTTACTCAGTTTCTATGATCGAGCCACAGAGATATTACAGGAAAGAGATGGTTGGGTTGACTGCATCTATCTGGACCTAAAAAAGGCTTTTCGAGTTCCACATAAGAGGATGTTCTGGAAACTGGAAAATATTGGAGGGGTGACAGGTAAGCTTCTAACATGGATGAAAAATTTTCTGACTGCTAGAAAAATGAGGGCAGTAATCAGAGGCAATGTATTGGACTGGAGAAATGTCACAAGTGGAGTACCACAGGGTTCAGTTCTTGCACCAGTGATGTTTATTGTCTACATAAATGATCTACCAGTTGGTATACAGAATTATATGAACATGTTTGCTGATGATGCTAAGATAATGGGAAGGATAAGAAATTTAGATGATTGTCATGCCCTTCAAGAAGACCTGGACAAAATAAGTATATGGAGCACCACTTGGCAAATGGAATTTAATGTTAATAAATGCCATGCTATGGAATGTGGAATAGGAGAACATAGACCCCACACAACCTATATATTATGTGAGAAATCATTAAAGAATTCTGATTAAGAAAAAGATCTAGGGGTGGTTCTAGATAGAAAACTATCATCGAGGACCACATTAAGAACATTGTGTGAGGAGCTTATGCCACGCTTTCTAACTTCAGATTTGCTTTTAAATACATGGATGGCGATATACTAAAGAAATTGTTCACAACTTTTGTTAGGCCAAAGCTAGAATATGCAGCGGTTGTGTGGTGCCCATATCTTAAGAAGCACATCAACAAACTGGAAAAGGTGCGAAGACATGCTACTAAGTGGCTCCCAGAACTGAAGGGCAAGAGCTACGAGGAGAGGTTAGAGGCATTAAATATGCCAGAACTGGAAGACGGAAGAAAAAGAGGTGATATGATCACTACATACAAAATAGTAACAAGAATTGATAAAATTGATAGGGAAGATTTCCTGAGACCTGGAACTTTAAGAACAAGAGGTCATAGATTTAAACTAGCTAAACACAGATGCCGAAAAAATGTAAGAAAATTCACTTTCGCAAACAGAGTGGTAGACAGTTGGAACAAGTTAGGTGAGAAGGGGG